AGCAATATTCGCCTCCCCCGTGTATCCTCATAGAGTAAAGCAGATGGGATCCTGACCCCAAGGAGGATCTGTAAATAACGCCTACTATGAGCGGTCTGAATCCCTCGTGAACCCTACACGAAAGAATTGCCGATCCTTCACCGAGATCACACATGGTTTCCACTGTGTGAACTTTAAGGTCTGACTTCCAGTAAAAAGCAACACCGCCCCCGGATCTCTCTCCTAGACGATCCGCACGAGATAGTTGATACCCTGGGATAAATACCTCCGATTCTGAAATATCCGAGGATAGCCAAGTCTCCGTAAAAGCCATCAGATCGGGTTCTTGCTCCGAGGTCATGAGCAGTATCTCATCCAGTTTGTTTCTCAAACTACGCACGTTCGCCGATATCACACGCAATCCACTCTTGATTCTCAGTGCACCAGAAGAACGAAGAGTGATCTCCACCGAGTTCTCGGGGATTCTTTTTACTACTCGAAAATCCACAATGCGAAGGTCGCTTTCACCAGCTGCTCGTCGGATTCGTAGTTCATCAACGGCCAGCTTCATTTTAACTCGATCTTCTGGAGAGAGGTCTCTCAAAACGTAGAACGTTCCTCTTTGCAAACGTGAGGTACGCTGGAGGATACGGCGACATTCCTCTTCATCTTGACAGCATCTTTAGGGCGCGAACATTCGAGGAGTCATCCTGTTTCCTGCCCACGCGAAAAGCGGAAACGAAGCTTATGCCCTTTTTCCCAGCATCGAACAGTAACGAAATCATCCACCTCAGAAACGCTTGGTCCTCCCATATCCTTTCAGCCGAGGATTACTTATTAGACTCAGGGGCGTTTACGATGATCAGACATCGTCCCCTCTCGGGAAATAGGCTTTTTTCACTTTGATGCGCCTTTTGCAAGTAAGGATTTGCCTCGCTCATATTCTCCAACTGGTTCACTTTATCTATAACATGTTTTAACTGTGGCTGAGAGGAGTTTGGATTAGACCCAGATTTTGAAGCTTTCCTCCTCTTCCGATTATTTAGCTGACTCACTGGAATCATAGGTACCTGAATTACGCTGCTGCCCGCTACCACTGCATACGTACATTCCTTGCGTTCGTTGAACTGCCGGCCAATGGACGATGGTTCTGCGGGTGAAATTGAAAAAAAACAAGATATTGCTGTCCAGGGGAAGTATCCGGGCCAGAAGCAGATGAAGGTAAAATAGGGAGCAGCGGATCATCCTTTTTCTTTTGCACCGTGTGCACGCATGTGGGAAATGGATTGATTGGAAGTAGACCATTCGAAGCACGCCTGACACTCAGCCCAGCCCGACAAGGGTCACAAATAAAGATGACGACTGAGGAACTGGTCCTTTGCAGTGGATCTTATAGATCTGGACCTATTTTACAACATGCAATGTGAAGCCACCCTTCGCAGAAGGAACATTGAACAGCCTTCGAGCGAGAAGTGGCAGCCTCACAACAATTCAAACATTTTGAGGACATTGTATCCCTTATTCACTACATTCAGAAGGAATCCTCAAGACGGGAACGAAACGCAACGGAGCTGAATTTACTGTGTAAAGGATACAATGTCCTCAAAATGCTTGGATTGTTGTGAGGCTGCCAGTTGGAGAATATGGGCGAGGCAAATACTTACTTGCAAAAGGCGCATCGAAGTGAAAAAAGCCTATTTCCCGAGAGGGGACGATGTCTGATCATCGTAAACGCCCCTGAGTCTAATAAGTAATCCTCGGCTGAAAGGATATGGGAGGACCAAGCGTTTCTGAGGTGGATGATTTCGTTACTGTTGGATGCTGGGTAAAAGGGCATAAGCTTCGTTTCTACTTTTCGCGTGGGCAGGAAACAGGATGACTCCTCGAATATTCGCGCCCTAAAGATGCTATCAAGATAAAGAGGAATGTCGCCGTATCCTCCAGCGTACCTCACGTTTGCAAAGAGGAACGTTCTACGTTTTGAGAGACCTCTCTCCCAGAAGATCGAGTTAAAATGAAGCTGGCCGTTGATGAACTACGAATCCGACGAGCAGCTGGTGAAAGCGACCTTCGCATTGTGGATTTTCGAGTAGTAAAAAGAATCCCCGAGGACTCGGTGGAGATCACTCTTCGTTCTTCTGGTGCACTGAGAATCAAGAGTGGATTGCGTGTGATATCGGCGAACGTGCGTAGTTTGAGAAACAAACTGGATGAGATACTGCTCATGACCTCGGAGCAAGAACCCGATCTGATGGCTTTTACGGAGACTTGGCTATCCTCGGATATTTCAGAATCGGAGGTATTTATCCCAGGGTATCAACTATCTCGTGCGGATCGTCTAGGAGGGAGATCCGGGGGCGGTGTTACTTTTTACTGGAAGTCAGACCTTAAAGTTCACACAGTGGAAACCATGTGTGATCTCGGTGAAGGATCGGCAATTCTTTCGTCTAGGGTTCACGAGGGATTCAGACCGCTCATAGTAGGCGTTATTTACAGATCCTCCTTGGGGTCAGGATCCCATCTGCTTTACTCTATGAGGATACACGGGGAGGCGAATATTGCTTGCTTGTGGGTGACTTCAATGTTCCGGCCGTAGACTGGGATGCGCTTCACTGCAATTTATCTCCAGATTCTTTTGATACGCGTTTATTAGAAATAGTCCTCGAATGTAATCTAACGCAACACGTTTTATCACCTACCCGTTTTTTTCCAGGCCATGTGCCACACATCCTTGACCTTGTGCTCACACCTGGCTCATCAGATGTCTCCGCTCTAGCCATTCTTCAGCCTCTTGGCAAAAGTGATCACTGTGTAGTCTCCTTTTTTGTGGACACGACAGTTAGCTATCAATGTCCAAGAAGTGCAACGCCGAAATTTCTGGCGAGTTGACCCCCTCCGCTTAAAATTGTCTGCTAGACTCATGGACTCGAACATGCCTCATCAGTTGGGTCTCGATGCTGCTTGGGACCTTTTGTGCTCAAAGATGATGTTTTTCATTGATCGGGTTGTTCCAAGGGCCAAAAATCAAAGGGCCCCATGGTTAGATCGTGGAATCAAATCGCTCATGCTGAGAAGGCGAAAACTTTGGAGTCGGTTCAAGTTCACTCAGAGGGCGCAAGATTACGCTCATTACAAAGAAGTTAGGAATTTATGCATCCTGAGAAAGCGGGAAAAGCGAGAATTATATAAGCGGTACCTGGCCGAGAAATCTGCGGTTAATCCGAAAATGCTTTTCGCATACCTAGAAAGAAGCAACAAAGCTGGCAACGGTATACCCGCACTGTATTCAAGCAAAGAGGACACCGTGCTTCATGATGACATGGCGAAAGGTTGTCTACTAGTTTCACAATATTCCTCTGTGTATACGACGGAGGCGCCATGAGCTGCTGAGGATACTCCCTGTCAGCCCTCTCCATTAGAGCATGTCGAAATTATTACTGACAGCGTACTGGAACTGCTTCTCGATTTGAACTCGAATTCTTCACCGGGTCCCGATGGGTTACATCCCTTGTTTGTCAAAGTGGTGGCGGAGTTCACTGCTGCACCAATTTGTCAAGTATTTCGAAGCTCACTTGATGCAGGTCGTCTCCCAACTAAATGGAAAACAAATGTTGTGAAACCGATGTACAAAGGTGGGAATCGCCAAGATCCAGTGAACTACCGACCGATTTGCCTGTCGTCAATCCTCTGTAAAACCATGGAAAGGATTTTGAAACAGGCATTGAGAAATTGCAAGTCATCTCTCCTGTTCAGCACGGATTTCGGAGGGCACGCACTTGCATTAGCCCGAGAAAAGTGGGCGTAGTCAGTGGATGCTGGTCATCGCCTTGATGTAGTTTTTGTGGATTTTAGCAAAGGGTTCCACACAAACGACCTTTATCAAACTTCGGCAGATTGACATCGCTGGTAATCTGCTCGCCTAGATGACCGTAGTGTGAATGTGAAGGTTAAGGAAGTTGACTCTGGTCCTGTTCTTATGACCCATGGGGTTCCACAAGGCTCCGTACTTCGTTCCGAACTATTCAAAAGCTTTATCATCGATCTCACGGAGATGCTCCAAATCGACTGCTTGTTCTCTGCGGATGATCTTAAACTGTGATCGGAAGTATCTAGGCTTGAAGATGCTGACAGGTTGCAACTGACGCTCGATCTGCTGCACGATTGATCTGTCAAGTGGTAAATGCATTTCAATCGTGAGAAATATTGTGTTCTCCCGATCGGTGATCAGGAACCTTACGTTGCTTACCACATTGGTGGTTTTCTGATGAAGAATGTGGCTGGTGAGAAGGATTTGGGTGTATGAGTTGGTCCAGACCTAAGAACAACCCAGAACACATTGCGGAAGGTAGCATTTGTCAACAGGATGCTCTGTGCCATACGAGGGTCGTTCTCCAAATTGACTCCGCAGAACTTTCGGCTCCTGTTTTCCTTTCACGTTCCTCCAATACTGTAATACGGCCTGCTTGCCATACAACCACTCACCAAATTTGAACTTATGTTCAGAGTTTGTTCTGTTCTCCTAGGTGAACAGTTTCATTGCACATTTTTCATCACCAATCTTGGGGACTTTTTGGTGCGCAATGTGGAAACTTGTTTTGTCGAGCCTTGCCGACGAGCGATTGGTGACGAATCGTTTCCATCGACACTGAACAAAATCTGAGCAGATCACTCATACTGCAGGTATTCCGATTTATTTTTGAATGTGAGTTGATTGGGAAGGTTTGGAGGCACGGATCAAAGTCTGGATCTATGCTACGTGTTTTACCTTTTCCCCTTCGTCTCCAATGTATAAAGTTATTTACTCTGGACTATCGCGGTTGGCGTGGTGGTCTGATTTATACTAGACGCATTTTAAGGGGCGATTTGGGGAAGGAGGTGCTGCAGTTCTTCCATCTCACCACGGATTGTTCAACACGGGGCCACAGGTTGAAACTTTTAAACCTCGGAGGAACCATATCCGGTCCGATCTCGCGTTATCCACACGGGTTGTGAATGAGTGGAACAATCTTCCTGAATGTGTGGTAAATGCCCAGACAGAGGAATGTTTTAGAGGATGTTGGACATGTAAATGCTGAGCATGCCTGGATTCCGCTGTTTTGCTGCAGCTGCAACGATCATTCCGGGAACACAGTTTAGCAACGACATGTCATCCAGCCAATGAAAGGGAGGTGATGGAGCTGACACGGGTTTTCCTTCTGCTTTCTACAACTCTATGAACTGTACGGACTATGAACTATGTACCCAAACGCAACGCCCCCGTAAGGCTAATTTTCCTTACAAAAATTAGCCACTCCCCGCCTTCGCTGCACGCTTGTTATCGTTAACCGTCCAACTACATGACATTCTTTTACAGTAAATGCGTTGTTTGGTTGTTAAATATCATATTTATGTTTCACGTATAACCGGCATGCGCAGAAATTACCGGCTTTGCTCTTTCAATGCGCCGAGCAGTCGCACTGTAAGACATTGGCATCGAATACTGTCCATTACACAGTCAGGCGGCGATGATTCTCAGTCAGCCGTACCTTACTTCATAGAGTGCACAGCTTCCACATCCAACAGTGTAACAGACTCAGGTACTGTGCCAGACGTACTGTGTTCATTTTTCACCTAGTAACACTATCGTTGTAAGTGCAATTATCCCAACATCACAGTCGCATGAGTTAGTTGACGTTGGATGTACATCAAATGAAATTACGTGTTTCCTTTATCTACACCTGTACAGCAGATGAGTCCTGCGCAACAGATCCCTGTATTATGCAGCTTGCCAGGCGAAAATCCACCATGTCCTGGAACACTGCCGCCGAACCATTTGCTGGAACGGGAAAATCCGGAACCACCCAGCTGGCACCACGAGAAGGTTGTTCAGAAAGCTAGCCGCATTGAATACATAGCCAAGCTAAGTAGACGCTCAGGGTAGGATTCCCCCGTAACCCCTCAACCAATTTGGTACCTAATCTCAAAACCCTCTCGAGCTCCATATTGTCCCGAACAAGGAAGCGCGGACAAGCCTGGACGCAGTATCCTAGATGGGGCCGAACGGAAGCTGAGAACAGCCAGCATCACAAATGTGTCGACAGTTAAAACCCTGAAAGAGCGGCTTATTAACCACAACATTCTGAAACCCCTACTTGCGGCCTTCTTCCAGTTGTCACCAGAATGCAAAGACGAGGAATGGACGACGCCTACGTCTACCTGGTTGGAGACAAGGGGGAGTTCGACCCCACTGAGCACGTATCTCGAAGGCGGGAAATTTTCTCCTATACGAAGGACGGAACACTTAGCCTGATTAATGGGCAGTAGCCACAAAGTAGACTAGTCCCAGGGTCTGTCCAGGGCATACTGTATGGCCTCAGAACCCTCAGAGACATTTACAACATTCCATAATTTATGGTCGTCAGCAAACAATAAGGATGATACCCCCAGCTCTCCATGGAGATCGTTTACGTAGATGAATTTGTGCAAGCAGAGAACACTGACACAATCCATCATGTTGCCGTGGCCGTAATGTCTCACTGTGGTTACGATTGTGTGTGCCCATTGTAGACGTACCGGCCAACTCGTCTGTGTTTTGTGCGTGTGTGCGTCTTTGCGTATGCTCGCGCGACTCATGAGGTCTGACTGTATCGAGTGGGTCATTGATCGACTTTGTTGAGTCCACCAATCGCATCCACATTGTTCGCCTACCTGTCCCGTTTATTCGTCTTGTAATTGAGTTGAAAAACCAATTGCTTGATCAGAAGTCTGTGTAAGCGAACATATGTTTTCGGTAATTCCTCATCAGGCTTTTAAAATGACATGAAAATCAAAGTTTTTTCTACAGACCCAACGGCTCGCCAGTCAGCCAAATTGATTCTAGTGCGTTATGACAAACCGTCGGTCAGGTTCCAGTTGTGGTCGCACGCTCGCACAGGTCAACTGCAATCCGTCCTTGCTAAGGTAGACTCAACGTATACACAGTGCTGGTTAGTACATTTGAATGGCGATGGCTTCTGCGGCTTCTAATGTCGGTCTACGAAAATGCCTTGATCGATTTTCTGGAGCCTGCTATGTTACTTTGAACAAATCAGCCGACTTGGTGGCGTGACCCGGATCCGCAAGATGCGCGGCGATGGCAGATTTGATGGCCTTTTAGCCTCCATTTCTGTGCCAAGCCGGATAAGCGTCTTGTCGTACGACTAACGTAACCTGCCCTACGGGAACAGTTGAGGGAGTAAACACGCATTGATTCGATGTGACAGGCAGCTTATGCTTGAGGTTTAGCCTCACCATTGGGCTGCTGGTGAACCGGGTTTGCAGTCTTGCCGCTTGGAAGGTATTCCTGAGTGTTTACGAAAGACGGTGGGATAGGTTCTCTGATACTATTGCCCCTTTGTAAGGCAGTTGCAGGAAAATAGGTTTCCGTTTCTCCTTCAGGACCGTAGGTACCTCCCTGCTTCGACCCCTATTGGCATTAATAAAATTCTCTGGGTAGTCATTCTCGTTAAGTGTCTATCGTGTGCGCTGTAATTCTTCGAAAAGTGTATCCTTCGATCAGATTCTTTCGACCTGGTTCACGAAACTGAGGACCATGTTTCTCTTAATCCGAAGCGACACAAAGCTATGAAAGTTTGTGTACTGTCCACTCCATGTGCACCTTCGGTAAACGCGACGTTATTCTGCATCACCGTCAAGTCTTTTCAGAGCTACATCGTGAAAATGCAAAGCGTCCTCTTCTACCTCGTAGGTTAACTGCATAGCATTGTGAGCCTGGTTAACTACGCTGGTGAGCTCGATGTTACCAGAGGCATCAAGCAGGACGAAGATGTCATCTACGGAACGGTGGTAGAACGTAAGGCTGCTGATGACCGCTTTCAATTTACTCTGTTCCAACATGCCCATGAAAACATCAGCGAGGAATGGTCCAAGCGGGGAACTCATTGCAACTCCATCGCGCTTCCGGTATATATCCCCATTGAATAGGAGCTGAACATTAAATGCACACCTGAGCAATAATTCTTTCGGCACCAGAGTTGGTATGCGAATATTAAAATGGTTCTCGTCAACGAAGTTGCAGATGAACTCAATCGTTTCAAATAAAGGCACATCCGTGAACGGTGTAGTGACGTCGACAGAGCACATAGTTTGGTTCGTGACGTTGACATCACGCACGCCATCTACAAACTTGTAATGGCATTTGCCTGAAGTGAATTGCCGAAAAGTTCTCTTCGCAAGTGTTGTGCTTCTAAGATAAAAGCATGTTTAGTTTAGGGGCTTCTTAGCCAAAACGTTTGGTCCGTACTAATGATTGCCACTATTGGAACGGTGCATGCTTCTAACAATATAACTTCACGATTTTGAGGTCTAGAACGAGGATTAAAGACTGGTGGAGCGCCACGCATTGTCTGAAGGTTGTAAGGCACCTTCCGGTGCTCAGTGATTTGCTACCGCCCGCCTCAAGCCAATCACCCCTTAGTTGGTGCAAGCCCGCTAACTCCCACCTGCAGCTGGCCGTGGTCACAGGTGCGTAACGTAATGTGGTCGTAAAACACGTGAATTGTTTCACATCTTCAAAGGCATCGTGCAGATCCCAGTGGGTCCCTGCAATCACTCTCTAGCTGGACTTGCTCCCCACTGCTTTGTGGGTCAGACTATTCAGCTAAAGGCTCCGATTGGAGTCCTTCAAACGAAGCTCCAATCTGCATGAGCTTTCGAACATTGAACGTAGCTAGTTTGAAGAGCGAGCCGGGTGCAATAAAAGCCTTACCGTGTCTACGATCGGTTTTGAGCGGTTCATTGATGAGGCCAAAGGTACCGTTTTTATTTGCAACGCACTTTGGGAGACTCGAAATGGGAGGGGGTTACCAAGAACAGGAGGGTTGAATAAACGTGGAACCAAGAAGGTGATTTGCGTTGCGGTAGGGTGAGGTTTAGCATACCCGGCCGCCAGAACATCGGTCAAAGAGAGAGAGAGTTCAGAGAGCGAGAAGCGTGAGCAGAATCTTAACTCCATCATTTCATGTGTTGTGTGGGCATGCAGCTTTCCGGTTGCCCAGGCCGAGGAAGTGATTTGCTCAGGTTGGCGCATTTCATCTTCCTTGATGGTAACGTCGCGATCAACCATATTACTGATTGATTGACCACAAGTATGCGGTTGCCATCTAGTTACATGCGGCCTTGTGAAGTTACGTGGGAACGGCTTCCCATGTTATTTCGTATATGTAACTTGTAATTGGCATGATCCATTTTTCGGTCTGCGGGATATGGTGCAACAAATAAGGTTTTGACACATTCATTTTTTTCTTGTACCATAATTTTTCAGTCTGACAATTCCACCTGTTATGCTCTACTTTATTTGAATTATCTCATGTTGTCCTAGTTCGTTTCAGTTAAACACTTATAGTTCGCACCCTTATGTGCATTGGATCCACTTGCCAAGATTCGCGTCACTATGACAACAATAACTAATAGTGGTAAGAAGTACGAGGCAGAGCACATGTAAACTACAAAGAAAGAGTGACTAAAAAGTTATTCAAGTTAATCGAGACTAACTTTTACCAGGCCACACAAACTGTTCCAATTCACATTAGGTCTGTTAAGCTTTTGTTTGCTTCTCCGAGCTGAGTAATTTAATGGCAAACCTTTCATCACCTCGCTCAGTGTTATCCTCAGTGCACTGCTAAGTAGAGGAAAAGCTCACAGTGTCGTCGGGACGTGGCGTTTGAGATTGGTCTCATTAATCCGTGACCCGTGTTCGTTCGATTTTCGGCCGCCCAGTTTCATGCTTTCTCAGCTGTAGGTAAACAGCATCGAGGTTCACTGAATTCTCCGTAACGAACTATGCCTCGAGGAATTATCTTCCTTTTCTTGTCCCTCCGTGCGCCAGTTTCCGTGTTGTCCCAGTTAACGTTGTGTCCTTCCTCATCGAAGTGCACTGAGATCTGTGACGATGTGTAATGGCATCGACATGCACGCTTGTGCTTTTGTATTTGACCCACCTAATCTTTCTCACAGTTCTCACGCTGTATCCTGTAGGCGACATTTCAGCGTTCCTGTGCCTCCGGTTTTCCTTTAGGTTTAGACAAGATTCCCTTCAAAGTCGCAGTTGGTATGTGAGATATCATCAGGTTGTACGGCTTGAGGAGTCTGGCTGTCTTTTCCGCTACGTTTGGATGTAAAGCAAGGCGATATTTTTCCCCGTTGTTGGTGCAGGAACGCTAGTTGTGCTCCTTCGGTTTAGGTGTCTTCGGATGAAACTGCGTGGGTGGCCGTTGCGAAT